TCGGACCCTCCGGTTGGGAGGCGACTGCTCTACCCACCAAACCACAGCTGCCCCTATGACTGAGCATCACTTATAAAAGCCAGATAGTTAATAAAAGCAAATGTGCCAAAGAATGGGCGAGCATTCATATGGAAGCTCAGTAAACAATTTAAATGATGTTTACCCATTATTTGGCCCCAAACAAAATAACTCAAACATTTCAGAGAGCTCACCAAATAACTAGCCAGATGTCTGCATCCTTTTATACTGCATCAGAAACCACCCTATGTTAGTTATTCATTCCAACCAAGCAGTCAAACTTCTACTATGCCCTCATGCTATGTTGCTCATGCTAACACCAGGAAGTAGGCCTCAAGCCTGCTGCTTGTATCAAACACTTTTACTAAGCCTTTTGCTAGTTTACGTCATCTTAACAGGTATAATCCTCACATAATCCTCTTTCTGTCATTTTAGACCTTATGTACACTTTATTCAGATACTCCAAAAGAGCTTTTCCACTTGCTTGGTGTTTGCTGAATAAACGACATTTTCCAACTGGGAAAGAAAAATAATAAGCGGGACATTTCTAGCAGCAGTGTAAAAAAGCCATATGCACACAAACACAAACGGGATGTGACCATGAGCTGTCTTTAGCACTTGATGAGTTGCAGGCCATTCCTGGCCTTGCTACCACACGCTCACAAACAGCAGTGAGCTAATGGGCTGTAAATAGCACAGTGGGTGGGCCAGAGCACAGCAGATGGGGTACTGTGTAATGTCCCAAACTACCTGATAGAAGACTAACAAGAAGAAGAAACTGGGGAAGCTTTGAGCTGTCACTCTTCACCGGAGCCTCAAGATATTAGGTCTGAGAGAGTCTAGGACACCCGCTGCTCGCACACTGCCTTATAAACAAAGATTTCCAAAGCTGACATGATGTCCCAGCCTGCTAGCCTGTTCAGCAATGAGCCTTTCTTCAGCCAGGAGAGGCTGCTGTGGCCCCTACATCACAAGGACCTCTCCTCAGTGCAGCAAGACTTCTTCAACAAACCAAAAACTATCAGCTGGCTAATGGTTATCTTTATTCATTAACCCATATTTATCTAATGTAGTTGACTCTGTGTGTGGGCTCAAGGCTGCTTAAATAAATAACCTAACTGGGTAAGGATAGAAACTATGAGCTACTCAGTGGAAAACGCATTTCTCTGTCATGAACTTTCACTAGATATTTCAACAGATTGCTGGTGTTTCTACCCTTACATGCAAAAGACTAGAAGTGAACCTGGAGCGCTTTGTGTTCACAGTGCACAGATTAAGTGAACTGCATCACGGAAACTGCATCACGGACTTGAAATGAACTGAACTGAGACAACCTCCTCAGGGAGTTTGAGTGTTCACATTTACACAAAAAATGGTGTCTAATTGCTCTAAGTTCGTTTTGAGGTCTGAAAGAATCTGAGTGTAAAAACACCCCAACATTTCCAGCCACACTTCTCTGTGTCCATGGTTAATTTTGTGTAATTCAGTTTCTTCTTCTCATTAGCTGTATCTACAGTGTCCTCCCAGGGAACTGTAAGCTCGACAATATACACAGTCCACTGTGCTTCTGACCACAACACAAGGTCTGGTCTGAGTTTAGGGCTGATTAACTCCTCAGGAACTATGAGCTGATTCTCTACAACTACTTTAATTTGTCACCCTCTCCCTGCCTTTAACTGGCCTACACCCTGCTTGTTCAAAATGACTTGCTTTCTGCCTTTTTCACTCACGAACAAGTGAAATTTTCTCTTGTTTCTTCTTCTCCTCCACTGATTAAACCCCTAATTTCAAGATGCTGCTAAACATTTCAACACCTCATGTCTCCAGGTGTTTCTTGCTTGAGGCAGACTTGTAATAGATTATTACTTGAGTGCTGCAGCATTAAAAAAAACAGAAAGTGAAAGAGGAAGTCTTCCAGGAGGGGCAACTAGTGTGAAGTTTTTCTTCTGCAAAACACGGCTTTTAGATTTCTAGTTCATCAGTGATAAGAGACACAGCTTTATTCAGCCTTTGTCTGAACCATGAGGAGCAAACAGAGAAACCTTCACTTTTTGACCCTTGGTAAGACATTTTTCTGAAATGTATTTTGTGTTCCTTTCTTGTGTACAAATAGTATACGTAGGCAGGAGGTCTCAGTGTATTTAGTTTACACTTCTATCACTTCAGTTTAATAAAATGAAGATGAATCAAAAACAGTGAGAATGTTCTTTTTAGCACTTTCCAGATTCCTGAATGTAGCTCTGTCATTTTTTCTCCCGTAGTCTCTTTTCTCTTGAGCTCATCGTCATCTGTTGCAGGTAAATCCATTCTACTGTGTCACATAAAATCTTTTGTTTTAAGCAAAATGTTTAAATGTTTGTGTCATGTGTCTGACAGGTTCTCAGATCAGATTAGCTGGGTCTAGGTCCACTCTGTGCTCTGGAAGAGTTGAAATTTATTACGGTGGTGCCTGGGGAACAGTCTGTGATGATAACTGGGACCTGAATGATGCTAAAGTGGTTTGCAGACAGTTGGGCTGTGGTACAGCGCTGAACGCCATGGCATCGGCCCACTTTGGTGAAGGAACTGAGAAAATCTGGCTCGATGATGTGAACTGTTCAGGAAGTGAAAGGTCTCTCGCTGAGTGTCGGCATAGAGGGTTTGGGACACATGACTGTGGACATGGTGAGGATGCTGGTGTGATCTGTTCAGGTGAGCCCATTTTTGGATCAGATGTACAGTACAGAAAATCATATATAGTGTAGCTTGGTATGGTAACCATACTCTACAAGGTGCTTTCAGATTTGATTAAAGAATTACAAATGTAATATATATACAAATACTCTGACCTGAGACAGCTGATCAGTACTGAAACTAGTATATTAGACTAAGGATGGGGGTGGTGGAGAGTTACAGATCTTGAAATTTGGGAAAAATAGAACTGTAGACAAATGTAGAAATGTAGACAAATATATCAACTAAAAGAGCAACAAAAGCAACAACATCTAAAGAAAACTAACTAAACAGCACCATCAGGGAGAAATACAGTGAAACTAACAGCACATATAACAAGACTACAAAACCAAAGGGGACAAAGATCACAACAAACCAAAAACTGAAGGTAGTAAGCAAAACCCAAATCAACAAAGTCCATGGACGATGCACAAGAGGGAGAGTCCAAGAAATTACATATAGGCTACATAATAAGGTCTATAGCATATCCATGAAGGATTACTGAATGTGGACCTGTCTATTAGGTTTTAATGTGTCTATATTCATTTATTGAAAATGAAAGTAAACATTAACTTTTGCTTGACTTTCAAAAACACATTCCATTTCTGTCCTGTGTTTCCATCCTAGGTGTCAGATTAGCTGGGTCCACTCGATGCTCTGGAAGAGTTGAAATCCTTCACAGCAACACCTGGGGCACAGTCTGTGATGATAACTGGGACCTAAATGATGCTGAGGTGGTTTGCAGAGAGTTGAGCTGTGGTACAGCGCTGAGTGCTCCTCCCAAAGCTCTGTTTGGTCAAGGAACTGATAAAATCTGGCTTGATGAAGTGAACTGTTCAGGACAAGAAAAGTTTCTAAGTGAGTGTCAGCATAGAGGATTTGAGAGACATGACTGTGGACACGATGAAGATGCTGGTGTGGTCTGTTCAGGTGAGATGAATCTTGAATCATTTACTGTAGCTTATATATGTTGCAAAGTTGATTTGCAATAATAAGACACTGGGTGACAGTATGAGGGGTCCAGTGCTGACATTTGTGTACTAGGAGGCAGCACAGTTTGCATATGTATTTTTGAAACCTGTAATGTCTTTAACAAAAAAGCTTCGCTGACAAAATATTCACTAAGTATGCACAATATTTAGTTGACGTTGGGTAAAGCTAAGCATTTCCCTGAAATCACCAAATATAGGAAGTGTGTTCTTTTTCATTTTTAACAATGTCTCATATATATAAAGGAATTCTTCTCTGTAAACTTGTATATGAAATATCAAATCCTGACCTCTTAACCTCTTTTCTGGTTGTTTTGTTTTGTTTTGTTTTACAGTGAGCCTGCCAAAGCCCAGCATCTCCATGAGTCCTGCTGATGAGGTTACCTGGGGTCAGGATGTCAGCTTCACTTGTTCCAATTCAGCTGAGTTCCAAAGTGGAACATTTATTCTGAAAAAAACTTCAGGCTCATTTAATAAGACTCAAATGTCACATTCCAACTCTGCTGCCTTCAGTATCCCCACGGTGGACTTTGATAAAGAGGGATCGTACCAGTGTCAGTATGAGAAAACAATTTCAGGTCAAACTTTCAGCTCCCACCTAAGTGACTCTGTCAAGCTCTCTGTTACTGGTATGTAAAAAAGGTTTCTTGAACTTGATGTTTCATTCACATGAAGAAGTCACAATAAGTATAGCCCAGGTCAAAAGCACATTTAATCCTCCAATACTGTGTCTTTTTTTCTTTAGTGAGCTTCCCAGAGCCCAGCATCTCCATGAATCCTGCTGGTGAGGTTACTTGGCGTCAGGACGTTGGTATCACTTGTTTGATCCAAACTCAGGTTTTAGGTGGAACATTCATTCTGCAGCAGACGTCAGGCTCATTCAGAAAGACACAAACATCAAGTACCAGCTCTACTACCTTCAACATCCCCAAAGTCGACTTTGACAACCAGGGATCATACCAGTGTCAGTATGAGAGAAGTGGCCCAAGTCGTAACTTCAGATCTCCTCTCAGCAACACTCTTAGACTCCTTATTTCTGGTAAGAATAGTAAACAAATCAGCAAACATAAGTTATAGAACAGAACAAGAACAAGTAGTTAAACACAGACAGCTACTGGCTGGTGAAGATTTGCACTTAAAAGCCAGATGTTTTTCTCAGGAGGTGGTAAAACCCAAAAGCAAATCTAAAACAGAGTGAACACTGGATTTCTATTCACCCAGTGGCCAGAAAACATGACTCCAGATAAATTAGCGTTGCTGTATTGAGGGTGTAACTACACAGTTGTTTGCTAACAGACTTGCCATATTAATTTTTCCATTGTCCCCAAATTGCCAGAAGAAGATTTTTGCTGGTTTAAAACTCAGAGAAAAAGTAGGATGCCAAAGTTCTGGTTTCTTATAAATTTAGAAAACAGGTACAATTAATTTTCAAAGTATTGCTTTGAGATTATTCTTTTGCGCAGAAAAATTGGTTTCTTGATGTGCTCAAAGGCAGTCTCAGTCTGATCTTTACTAATTTACAAATCCAGCATATATTTTGTAAAACAAACAAACAAAAAAAATCCCATTGTCATTTTTTGTTTATTTGTTACCCAGTGAGACTGCCACAGCCCAGCATCTCCCTGATGTCTCCTAATGAGGGGCTGGTCCTGAGTCCTGAAGGTGCAGAGGTCACCAGGGGTTACAGCTTTGTCATCACCTGCTCCATAAACTGCAGCTATCCTGATGGCCGTTTCTTTCTCATCTTCTCTGGCTCCAACATCATCAGCACCAAGTCAGCAGTCAACCACTCAGCCTCCTTTTACTTCCCTGTAGCAGAGTATGAACACCAGGGCAACTACAGCTGTGTGTACGAAGTCACACTGTCTGCACGGAGATTCAATTCCACTGAGACAACACCAATTATTGTCATTGTTAAAGGTAAGTACACTGTATAATTTAAGAATTTTTACATTTTATCTAATAAATGAATAAAACAGACTGTAGTCTAACATGACAGTGGTGCTCTAAACCTATGTACAAGGCCAACTGTCATAAATCACATCATATGTTTCAGACAGGATTTTTCAATATTTATTCTATCAGCACAAGTTTATACTTTGATGCAAATTAGACAGTGACATGGGGACAGAGAAGAGGCAGAAAGAGAAACAGGAGCAAACAGGAAGGAGAGGGCGAATATGAAAAGGAAGTTAAACTGAAATCTAACTTGTGTGATCTGTTGTTCATTGTGGTTTACTTATTAAATGAAAAGATACAGACATTTTTCTGCATTTTTGGCCAATTAGGTTTGAATATTGTATGTATGATCAATAAAATGTGAAGTACTCAAGGCAGAAAAATGTGACATTAGATCATTCACTCATGTTCAGTATTAACTTGTAAGCAGCAGTTTACGGTTAATGTAGGTGTAGTTAATTTTTGACCATTGCACTGTAAATAGGGCAGCAACTCGTGATTATTTTTGCTGTGGGTTACTCTGATCATTTTCTCTATTAATCCATCAGTTGTTTAGACTGCAAAACTTCAGACAGTAGTGATAAATATTCATCACAACTACAAAATGCCATAGTGACAACCTCAAATTGCTTGTTTTTCAACCAAACCTCAAAGTTCCAGTTTTACAAATTGTTGAGTAGTGTAATCTACAGCAACGCATCATAAGCCAGTTATATGTTTTGTATACAAACATATGTAAAGTAAACATTTAAAGCTGTTAAATAAATGTAGTGGAAAAAATGTAGTTGAGTAAAATGTATTATGTTTAGTGGAGTAAAAAAGCATGTAATGAAAATACTCAAGGAGAAGTAACTCTTTTATACGTTTCATTTATGAGAATGTAAAAATTTTTTAGAGACTCTGTAGAGGACCTTTCTGCTGTTTAGGAATTAAAATGTAAATTTATGCAAATGATGCTATTTTGTGTAGATGAAAGCAAGAACAAGTAACAAGTGGAGCAATAAGTTAAAGATCTGTAAGTGGTGGATTGCTTCCTCTGTGCATTTTATTAAGATGCAAAGTGAGGTTTAGAGGTGACATGTTTGCATACCATTCATGGTTTATTTAGTGCTGACAGAAGAAAAGCAAGATTTATGTGAATGGCACAGTTGGATATGAAAACAGTTTCACATAATGGAAAGAGCTAGAGGTGCTGTCAGCAGAGTTGCTGACATCAGGGGAACATTGGATCAGTTGTCCTGCACCCTGGGTCAAGTCAGGGCCAAAATTGACCCTTTGTAGATAATCTTATCGCAGGTATGAGTAAGACACATGTAGGACTTGGCTGTCAGTGAAACAGCTAGGGTCTTGCCATAAGGACTTGGTAAAAACAGAATCTGAGACTAACAAGATGTATGACAAAAAAGATAGACTGATGTGTTGACTGATACTGTGACATTTACACAGCAGTGGGGACAACTCTTTGCAGACGTTCATGGTGAGAGTGAAGTAGAGCTGAGTTGGATACTGATGTTGTACAGACCACCGCCTTGGGCCACCAGGAGTTATCCATTTTAAGATATCAGTGAGGCAGGCTGAGATCTATGCTGAGACAGTGGGGCTGTCTGGTGAGAAGTGCAAATACAGTTGGGCATCATCAGCATAGCAGTAGTAAATAAAAAGCATACACAGAGATAATCAGGCTAAGGGAAGTGGTGTATATTGAAAAGAGAAAGGGGCCAAACACCAATCTTTGTGGTATGCCAGCAGAAAGAACGTCACACTTACCTTTAATATGCCACTTTTAATGACTGACCTGTAAGATAGGACTTAAACCAGCCAAACGCTGTGCTCACAATGCCTAGTATAATGAAAAATATGACAGATGACTGGAATTAGGTTCTCACTGATCTCAGGATTTTTGTAACTTCCAACAAAGAGAGGAGGTCTGAGATTCAAAACTGCACTCTCTATAATAACAATATGTAACATATGGGGAGAATGAGACATGTTCTCAATGATACACTGTTAAATGTTTTTAGCGCCTTTGTTGCCGCTGGTCTCCTCAGTAGCTTCTGGGATCCTGCTGCTACTCCTGCTGATCTTGTTAGTGATTTGCCTGGTCCACAGGAGAAGACGACAAGCTGAGCAGCCTGGAGTCCTTGTCCTAAGTCCATGTATGTGCTTCCCAGGACACAGTTTCCCCATTTAAAATACAGACATACACATACAAGCTTACATATGTATTCACACTTTCTTTTGATCTTTGTGTTTCAGTGACTGACAGAGCTGGGAATGACTATGAAGATGAGTAGGACGAGGACTATGTGAATGTTGATTTATTGGACACAAAGAAGAAACTCAAAGAGGAAGCAGGGAGATTAGAAGAAGAGTGCATCTATGATTGTGAGGACCCAGAGAGTGACAAAGATAATGACTATGAGGAAGCAGGTCCCACACCAAGTTCCGTAATGGCTAGTGAGGTCCTTTTCACTGCAGAGGAGAGCAGGGAGGATGAGGTAGAAAATGATGATGAAGAAGATGAAAGCAGTGATGATGAAAATGACTATGAAAATATAACTGAATCAATTTGTGAGCAAACTGTGGAAATTAATGGACAAAATGAGGATATTTATCAAAACTTTTAAGTGTCTACTTGTCACATAGTTTAGCTTGACAGAGGACAGTTTTTTTTGCCAAATTAAAAGTACAATTGCCAGTAAAAGTGCAGGGACAGGTAAATGTGGAATGATGCTACAAATATTGTAGCTTGGACTTACTCAAAGATAATAGGACTGCCAATGTGTATATGTTTGTAGATGCCCTGCCAGTTCTGTCAGACCTGCCCCTATAATAAAATGGCCAAAGGAGGAGGTCATTGTCAAGATCTGGAAAACTCTTCACAGTGAATGGGTTCAGTACACATTAAATGATGTGATCAGCTTCGGGTACAGAACCAGACCATTCCGGGCATTTCTGAAGTATTTTAGGTTTTATTCCATGAATCTTGAAGCATAGGGTGTAATACCAAAATTACTCTCTTCCTGGATTCCTTGGATTAAGACAAATCAGTACAGGCCATATATTGTATTTAAATATGGATGAACCCTCACCGCTTCCCTCTACTATGCAGAAGTGAAGCCAATTTTTTGTGAACACCACCACTAGTTTTGGCATTTTGCAACCAGATTCTGCGTAGTAGTGGCCGAGCAGTTGAGTAACATATCAGACTACCAAGCAAAGCTGTTAAAAAACAATCTGATTTACACCCCTTTTATATAATCAAATAAGTTCTTAAAACAAACTTGGTAGAAAAATGATCACTTGTACACAGCACAACAATATCTACCTAAAATGACAGAAATCACCTCTGGCAAAAATGTATTTGAATTGTAATTGAAATGTTAGTTTGGCTCATGTCCCATCTGCTACCACCAAGGGGTCACAGTTTATGACCTATACTGTAAGCAGCCACCAGGGGTCATAAGACTCACCATGAGTTCTCTTGTGGGAGCTGTCAGTTGTCCATATTTATATACCATCTATGGTAAAGGTCAATACACATTTCTGCCTCTGTTGATAACTTATTGCTGCAGGAATGGCCTTTATGAGCTTAAGTCTAACACATTCATATTTTTGATTCTTGACTAGTGCTACAGTATGATTTCTGCCTTCCAAGAGTTTGCAACACTGTTAAATACTCCCTTTAAACTTTTTTTTGTTGTTGTTGCATGACTCAAAGAATACTACAGTGAGTCTGTTAGTCTAGCTTTAAGCTTCTTAACAACTTACCATGAACATTTTTAAAGACATTCATTATCCCCAGAAAAACATCCTTGCACGCCTTGGAAAATGAAGGAAATTACGTCACTTCATATTAGCAGACATGCGAATCCACGAAGCATGTATAGCTTCTAAGATAGTGAACCTGGTAAACATTACATCAATATGCTGAGTTTAGCATTAAACATTATTGTGCTCACCCTCAGCGGTTAGTCTTGAAATTAATTTGACATAAAAAGTCCTAATTTTCATCAGCAATGTGTAATTCTGTCTCTGTTTGTGTAAAAATATAAAATGTAACTGTCCTGGTAGCTCATGTAAAACAGATTAAATGCAATATAACTTATACTGGGGGCGACTGTGGCTCAGGAGGTAGAGCGGGTTGTTTCCTAACCGGAGGATTAGCGATTCGATTCCTGGCTTGTCCAGTCAACATGTCGATGCGTCCTTGAGCAAGACACTGAACCCCCAGTTGCTCCCGGTGATGTCACCGTTGTGTGAATGCGAGAGTGTTTGGAGGTGTGAATGGCAGAATAATGTGAAAGCACTTTGAGTGTGCTGTAAAGCGTAGGAAGGTGCTAAACAGGTATAAGACTATTTCCTGGTCATAGCTAACCTTTTGGCCTCAAGCCATAATTTAGCATCAAGGTTTTTATTAAACCTGAAACTAGTTAGTATTATTCCAGTACAGAAATACAGGTTTACCTCTAGGCAAGTAATGAAGCTGTCATGTATAGTATGCTGTACTGTATGTAGTAGAAACATGGAAGTATAGGGTTTTGATTTGATTTGATTTATTCTTTCAAGCATGTAAAACAGTTGATATGACAACACACATAATTTTACACATAATCCAATATCAATTTGCTTATACCTAGTACATGCTTGAATGGAGTAGGAAGAAGTCAGACTTATCCAGTCCTACCCCATGACATCATCTTACCATCATTGGTTTGCAAGCAATAAATGATTCACTTCTACACACACACACACATATTATAATAAAAAAAAGAATATAACAGTGTTAACATT